GGGACCAACGTGCAAACTTTCTAAACTAACCATCCATATTAAAAATACCATACAAGTGAAGGAGTAAATAAATAAGACTGAAACATAAATATTAAAAAATTACAGGCAAGAAACGTAAATATACCATCAGCAAGCTCAGTGACTAAAATAAAATAACAGAAAGCAAAGTGCCAAAATCAAAAATAAGTAAAACATGAAATATAACATATTATTGACTAAATTGAAAGTAATAAAACTAAAGTGCTAAAAAATAAAAATAAATAAAACATAGGGATTCATGGACTAAAATGTAAAATACGACATAAAGTAGAGGGGCCTAGAAGAAAATAAATCAAAATGTTAGCGTTGAGAAGTAAAAAAAGGAAAATCACTAAATCAGTCCCTAAGTATTAAAAATAATTTAAATAGTCACTACACATGACCATAATGCAAAACACACCTAAAAGTACAGGGACCAAACAAAAATTAAACCAAAAATATATAACATGCATCAAAAATATGTAAACTACAAAAATAGTCCATGTGGGTGACCATTTTGCAAAAAAAAGCTAAACTTAGGGGGACCTAAGTGAAATTTCCACTTAAAATAGATTTTAGAGAGAGATGGTCTCCGCTCTCTCTAGAAAATCGGCGGGTTGTCAGTGGGTTACATCCGTCGACTGCCATGACGTCTGTCGCCGATCGTCGTGTCGTCCACCACCGTCGATGGCCACCAAATTACATCTGGAGGTCCGTCTCAGCCACCCCGTCTCCGATCTGGGGTCGGTTTCGCGAGTATAGGCTCAAGGTTCACAAATCTAGTCAAAACCATTCGACTTTCTCTCTCTGATCTGTCTCCGTCAGCCGTTGAATCGTAGCCATTTTTAGATATGTCGTTCTACATTGTCTTATCTTCCTTCTCAATGGTCGATCCACAAACCGAGCCCTCATACGCCGTGAGCGTCGCTGACTGAATGGGTAAGAATCCATTCTCTCCCTTTTTTTCTTTGTTTCGAAATAGGAAAAAAATATAAAAAAAAGAAATTTGTTTAAACTTTTTTTTATTTCTTTTCCTTTCGAAATGTTACACTATGTTTTGTTCGATTCATAGTTCTATTTTCTAGAAGATTGATTCTTTTTTTCGAGAATGTTTTTCAGTAAAACTCAGAGCCCCTTTTTTTTTCTTTTTCGGCTTCTCCCTTTTTTTTGGATTGATTGTTATTGATATATGTTGGAGCTGCTTGAATGTTTGGTGAGGTTTGTTGTTGGTGACAGGGTAAGCTTGGGATGACTGCAGCATGGTCACGGGATGGCTGTTGCAGGCAGTTAGTGGACGTGTTGGAGCAGCGGGGTATGGGGTAGGGGTGTGCAAAATTACCCGACCCAGTTGACCCGACCCGTCGACCCGAATCTAAAAAAATCGGGTAATTCTCTAAAAAAAATTACCCGGTCAGGTCGGGTACCCGGCCCGACATTTCCCGGGTCGGGCCCGGGTCACAAAATCTAGTTTTTCCGGGTACCCGGTTACCCGAGTACCCGGTTAGTTTTTATTTTTTTATATTTTATATATAATTATATAAAATATAATGAATTATTTATATTATGGATTATTATATTTTATATTTCGAACTTTTAAATTTTATGTTCGGATATTAGAGTATGTAATTCGAAGTTTCGAACATTTAAATTTGTGTATATATTTTTTTAAATTAATAATTTGAAAATAAAAAATTAAAAACCGGGTATCGGGTACCCGATTACCGGGTACCCGTAACATCCGGGTCGGGACACGGGCCGAAAAATCGTCGACCCGGAAGTTCCGGGTACCCGGAAATCAGGTACCCGGATTTGCACACCCCTAGTATGGGGTATGGCAGCAACAAAAACTGAGTCTGGACCGGGTCGGATCCCTCTTTGGGTTGGGTTGCACACTGGGCCTGAACCGGGTTGTAATATGAGTTTTAGGTTTTGCAAGGTATGTTGGGCTTGATTTGTAACTTGGGCTCAGGGTAGGGCATGCAAAATAAATGTAAATATATTAAATAATAATAATAATAATAAATAATTAATAAAATGAGAACCCATGCAAAAGTGGGTGTCTACACTTTTAAATCTGTTATACTGTAATGGCTTAGAGAGCAAGAAACATGCAAGCTAGTAATGTGACAAAGGGTTCGATTGTTGAAAGAACAATCACATCTGATGGAAGGGTTGTTAGCAGGATCCTCGAACACAGAAAAGCTTTCGGTGATGGCAGTTCCACTGCATGGCTCTCCACTGATGTTCCATGAATCCACCGCTTGTATTTGCCATTGTTGGAAGATCGAGTTCAATGCCCTCACTATTTCCCCCATTCATTAAACTATCAGTGAAAGGAACGAAAAACATTAAAAAATTATACGAGCATATTAGCATATGTATCCCTCTTACAAAATTAAACATGCATCGTATAAGCTGGAATCACCAGCTACTTCAATCCAAAAAAAAGTACCATAGCACGTTAGATACCTAAAAATATGTTTGTGTATAATTAAAAACATCATTGATGCTCAAATCATGCAAAATAATATTCTTTATTAATTATTAAAGTTTAAAAAAATTCGATTTTTCTTTATAATTAATCAAGACTACTAAAAGAATTTCTAAATAAAAACTAAGATAAATTACGCATGTAGTATCTAAACTATCAAGTTTAGTTTATTAGTACTTGAACTTTTAATTTTTTTAAAATTATATCTAAAGTTTAGTTTTTGTTTCATTTTATTATCCGCCGTTAAAAACTTTAGTTTTTGTTTCGTTTGAGCACCTTGTTAAAAATTTAAAGTTAAGTTTTGAATTTTTTTTTAAAAAATTTAGGAACTAAAATGGACGAAAACTGATAGTTTAGGTACTAAACGTGTTAAATTTTTAAAGGATGGTACTAAAATAAAATGAAAACTAAACATTATATATAATTTTAAAAAAATTAAAAGTTTAGATACTAAAATAGATAAAAACTAATAGTTTAAATACTAAATACATAATTTGTCCTAAAAAATAATCACACTTAAACCACTCGAACCCGTAACTTCTTGAGTATTGTAATATTTATTTATTTTTAATGCAACCTTTAATTTTTTGGATAAACTACACGAGAGACCACCAAACTATGATTATTAATCAATTTTACCACCGAATTAATTTTTGTCTCAATTCGACTACCAAACTTTTTAATTGATTCAATCAGACCACCGTACCGTTAATTTTAACAGACTTTGTGACGTGTCCGTTAATAAAGTTGGCATAATTATATAATTGGTCCTTAATATTTACATATTCTATCAATTTAGTCACCATTTTAATTCAATTACATAAATTTAACTATCCAATTAGAACATGACACGTATCACCACCCAATTGAAATAGAAAATAGAAGAACACGACAATGCAGCAAGGAGTTTCAAACCTGTGTCTAAGGGGGAGAGTAACCAAGCGCCCAAACCGTTGGGTCAAAGCTCCCAATGGTTTTACCTTATATCATTTTGTATTTGACTTGTAAAAGTTTGTTAATGATAAAAAAATTAAACAAATTATTTGTTTAAATATTTTTTTATTTAACCGTTAATCGAACCGAAATTTATTTTAAAAATATTAATCGAACTAAATTAACCAAATTTTTTCTTTAACATTAATCGAACCAAAATTATTTGACCGTTAATCGAACCGAAATTTATTTGAAAATTATTAACCGAACCAAATTAACCGAATTTTTTTCTTTAAAATTAATCGAATCAAAATTATTTGACCGTTAATCGAACCAAAATTTATTTGAAAATTATTAACCGAATTTTTTTCTTTAACCATTAATCGAACCAAAATTATTTGACCGTTAATCAAACACAAATTTATTTGAAAATTATTAACCGAATTAACCGAATAAAATAAATTATTTTTCTTTAACCGTTAATTGAACTGAAATTTATTTGAAAATTATTAACCAAACCAAATCAATCGATTTTTTTTCTTTAAACATTAATCGAACCGAAATTATTTGACCGTTAATCGAATCGAAATTTATTTGAAAATTCATCCCTTTCATCCGAAAATACCTTAAAAATATGACAATATCGCTGCTCTTCTTTGGAAAATAAAATAAAAAATACAAGAAAAAAAGACCCACTTTCACACATTAAATAGGCTTCTAAAATGTATCTTTTGGTAATTTTCTTAAAGTATTATTAGTTAAACTATTCATTTTAATCACAAAATCAAAATATAAATGGATAAAAAATTAAAAAAATAACGAAAAGGATGGTTTTAAACGGATCGTCAAATTTTACCCTTACTAATGTTTGAGCTCCACTTAATTATGTATTTACATTTTACTTTAATAATTTAATACTAGCATCTTTAAACATAATTTATTACTTAATAATTTATTTTAATTACTTAAAATTAAATAAAATTCATAGTACTAATAAGGGTAAATAAAAGTCATAGTATTCATGTCTACAATTGACTCTCTATCTTTTCAAACTCACTTTTTAATATCAATCTTAAATAATTAAATTTTAAACTACATTTAAAAAAAATCTTTTTTTGATATAACTTATTATTAATGAGTTAATTCATCAAATAAAATATTTATTATAAATAAAATTAATATAGTTTAATTAATCAATTGTTTTTGATCAAATGAATTAATGTCACCGATGATATATTTGAGTTGTAGTGATTATTAATTGTCCACTTCTTCTGATTTAAGGAACATGATAAGTAAAAATTAGTAGATAATATTTCCTTTAAGTTCGAGTAAGTAGAGAAATGAAGATACTAAGCCTAAGTTGAACGATTATAATAATTTGACATTAAACTTAATTATGATAAATTATGTGAATACGTCGATAGTCGAGAAGATAACTTTCAAAAGATATGAAATTTTTGAAGAAAAAAATATTATTTTCGTCTTAGTAATTATAAATTATCCACAATAATTTGTTTATACTAATCAACATTTTTATACAGAATTTTCAACTGAACTGGAATTAATCAGATTATTAAACGTAGGGCGTTTATTACAAGACAACTTACTCTCTGCAGAAACGTTAGTTTGTAGAGCTCACTCTCACGGTCTCACCTTCCTCCCCTCTACAACTTACGACTGAATAGAGCATTGGTTGATCATCTTCCCCTGAAAAAGTGTTGCCCTTACTCTCGATTTCACTGCCGTTACGATCGGATGCAACGGTAGATAAGGTGCCTGTTACATCCTTATAGTCCCAGTCGGTTAAATAACTCGGTTTCGTCGTAACAGTGCTCACTTCGATATCTCCTGCAAGCATAGAAACAACACGAGACATGGGTGGCCGCATTGATGGTGATGCCTGAGTGCATAGAAGTGCTACCCCTATCACTCGGAGAGCTTCATTTTCATCGAACTCTGTTACTTGCGGGTCAAGCAAGCTCAAGAGTTGGTTATTTTCGTTCAGGGTCCACACCTAAATATATCCAAGAATAGTAATGATGAGTACTCCAACAAACAGTACTACAAAAGGGAAAGATGTCCTTATGGATTACCCATTCTAGAAGATAAACTCTGTCATCTTCTAATCTTTTGTCTGAGTTTGGTCTACCACTCATAATCTCCAATGCAACAACTCCGAAGCTAAAAACATCAACTTTCTCTGAAAGATGCCCGCGCATTGCATACTCTGGAGCCAGGTAGCCACTGCAAGATTATTTCATTGCATTTGTTAATAATGTTTACTGATAAAACTACTAATTCTAGCAATTAGGCAGCACTGATGAACAAAATGGTCGAAAGGTCTTACATCGTTCCAGCGGCGCGAGTTGTCATGTGTGTATCATTGTCATCATATAGCTTTGCCAATCCAAAATCGGATATCTTCGGGCAGAGCTTTGCATCAAGCAAAATATTGCTTGCCTTCACGTCCCTATGAACAACCCTTAGCCTAGACTCCTCATGAAGATAAGCTAGGCCTCTTGCAGTCGATAAGCAGATATTGAACCGGGTCGGCCAATTGAGATGAAGTGCATTTTTTCCTGCATTTGCGGTACAATTGTCCATTAACCAACAAATAATAGCATAAAATTGTCATATTATATTGTTCTCATACCCCAGAGTGCCTGATCAAGGCTTTTGTTCACATGATACTCGTAAACAAGGAGTCGCCTATTTCCTCCGATGCAGCACCCATATAGTTTGACAAGATTACGATGTTGAACAGCTGATATGGTAGCTATCTCAGTAAAAAATTGTTCTTTGCCCTGGGTTGATGCTAGAGAAAGTTGTTTCACAGCTACTACTTTCCCATCAGAAAGTGTACCCTAAACCGGAACACGATTTCGTAACATTGTATACAGGTCATAACCAAAGTGACACATACTGAGAATGTTAGACGTTGTTTACCTTATATACAGGTCCGAACCCCCCTTCTCCTAACTTCTTTGAAGAACTAAAGTCTTCGGTGGCGGCTTTCAACTCGGAATAACTAAATGTGTTTGGTCTAGGGCTGATGCCAAGAAGCACTGCAGAGTCAAGTAAGGCAATAATTACTTGGCTGTAATTTCTAATATGAACGATATGATAGATATATTTTATGATAAAAAACCGATGTTTTTACCTTCCTCGTCGTCGTCATCTGTGTTTCTCTTCACATAAATAACTGCAAAAATAAGTATCAAAGCCAATGCCAAAGCAGGAACCGTAACACCAGCAATCAATGCAGTGTGGTTCTTTTTATGATTTCCTGATGGTATCTCATTAACAGTAGGTCTGAAATCTGAGAAACAAAATAGATGTATTAGAAACAGAAAACTGAAGATAAGCACATGAAGCATATATTACATAATGATTCATAAGTGTTAAGGTCTCTTACTTGGAGTAACACGAATAGCCGAAATGGATGGACCATAATAACCTGGTTCTGGTGCACAGCAAGTCCCCTTTGTCGTAACCGGTTTTCGCCCGGGCACGAATTTTTTTTACTTGGTTGAAAAAGTGATGTGAATAAATGGTTTTGAAAAATAATTTGGGAGTCGCCATCGGCTTTTTGGGCCAGGTAGGTCGAATACCTAAAAATTATTTTTTTAAAAGAGTTTTAAGAAAACATCAATTAAAAAATGAACTGATCTGCGTTTATAACCAAAAATTAGTTCTTTTTTTTTTAAATAAAAAGGATTCGTGGTCGATTACGTTTAGGGAATGATTAGCACCCCTACAACGCCCAAAATTGGTACTTTTTAATTATAAATTGTCTCTTATTATTAAAATTTAAAAATTCAAAATATATTTAATTTATAATCTTATTATTTCAAAATTATATATAAAAAATATTTATTTATTTAAAAATATCAGAAAAGAACTTCTAGGTGCCTTAAGACAGCTCTTTTCTTTGATATTGATAAATATTAATTTAAATAATATTGTTTAATTTTTAATTTTAAAATATCAGAATAGGACATCCAGTTGTATTAAGACTGTCCTTTTCTTCGATATTAAAAATAAATATTAAAATAATTTATTTAAAATAAATATTTATTTATTATATAACAACATTTAAATATATAAACAAGTAAAAATACAATTCTAACTATATATTTAAAAGCAAAAAAAAAAAAACTTAAAATAAATGACTAAAATATAGTGAAATTAAAATTGAAAAACCTAATTCATAATTAATCAGAATTACAGAGATTAAACATGCTATTTTCTTATTTAATAATTTAGTGACTGAAATAAAATTATCTAAAATTCGGATATTATAATAAAATAAAAAAAATAAACTAGGGATTAAAATATTATTTATTAAAATTAAGGGATTAAATCTGTTATTTATCCTAAATATATTATTTTAATATAAAGGACTAAAATAAATGAAATTAAAATTAAAGATCTGAATTAAAAGTATTATAAACTCAATTTAGTGACTAAAATGTAAAGTTTACAAGTTTAGATGGCTGCGGAAATGATTTAACTATTCTTTAATTACACGAATAGCCCTCCCCAAAACGACATCGTTTGGGAAGGGCTATTTAATGCCCAAGACAGCCGGCCCTTCGGGCCATCTCTTTCATTTTCAATTTTCATTCTCTCTCTATCTGAGAGAGAATGAACAAAGCTCTCCCCTCTCTCTAGCTTCCCTCACCGGAGGGAAGCTGGTCACCGGACGGCCACCGTCTGCCGCCGTGACCGTCACCGCTGGCCACCGCATTCGGTGGCCGGAAAATTTTATTTTTATGCTATTGGGTAGATCGGACCGTCCTAAGGACGGTCCCGGTGTTCTCTTCCCTTAAAAAGCTCTGAATCGGAGCGAATCTACAAAAATACCTTCGGCGTTTCGAAGGTTCTGGCGAGATCCGGTGGCGGTTGGGGTTCTCCGATGACAGTAAGTTTCCATTCTTTCTTTTTCTTTTCTTTCTTTTCTGTTTCTTTTTCTCTCTCCCTGTCTTTTTTTTCTTGCAGATGGGGTGATGGCTTTATAGCCATCACCGGTGTTCGTCTCAGACCGGTCCGAAGAATGCCCTTTGGTGAGTCACCGGACTCCCAGTGGTGACTCACCGTTTGGGGGAGACGTGTGCGGCTACGGCCGGCCTTCTGGACTCTTTGGTAGACGTGGTGGAGGCTGGAACGTTGGTGTGGCGGTGAAGTCTTCTGGAAGCAGCAGCGGCGGCGGTGGGACGTGTCCCTAGGGTATTGATACCCTAGGGTTTCCTCTGGCAAACTGTGGACCGTTGGATCAAACCAGATCCAACGGCTGGAATTGAAGATGGCGGCTGAGGAATTAGAAAACCCTAATCTGTTAGGGTTTGTTATGGGCTCGTTGGTTTGGGCCATCAAGTTTGTAATTGGGCTTCCATTTGGGCTTGTAATTTTAAATAATATAATAATAATAATAATAATAATAATAATAATAATAATAATAATAATAATAATATGAGTAAAAAATTAGTATCTTCAGCTGCCCCTCTTTGCTCATTCTTGTGTTAACAAGAATAGGGCAAAGATGAAAAGATAATAAATTTTTTTTATCCATTTGGCTTCACTTGATCATAATGAAGATATTGAATAAATTCTTCTCTCTCTCCAGATGAGTTCTTCTCATTATGAACTTTCTGCTGGGGATGATGATGACCTCCTTTTTTTCTGTGATAGAGTCATTCAAAAGGTTGAATAAGCTTTTGATGAGTTCTTCTCATTATGAACTTTCTCTTCTTTCTTCAGATGAGTTCTTCTCATTATGAACTTTCTCTGAAAAAATAACCCATCAAGTAATAGATTTGAGCAAAAAGGTTGAACAAATTCTTCTCATTATGAACTTCTTCTTCCTTCTTCAGATGAGTTCTTCTCATTATGAACTTTCTCTGGCAAAAATAATCCATCAAGTGATGAATTCAGACAAAAGGTTGAACAAATTCTTCTCATTATGAACTTCTTCTTCCTTCTTCAGATGAGTTCTTCTCATTATGAACTTCTCTGGCAAAAATAATCCATCAAGTGATGAATTCAGACAAAAGGTTGAACAAATTCTTCTCATTATGAACTTCTTCTTCCTTCTTCAGATGAGTTCTTCTCATTATGAACTTCTCTGGCAAAAATAATCCATCAAGTGATGAATTCAGATAAAGGTTGAACAAATTCTTCTCATTATGAACTTCTTCTTCCTTCTTCAGATGAGTTCTTCTCATTATGAACTTCTCTGGCAAAAATAATCCATCAAGTGATGAATTCAGATAAAAGGTTGAACAAATTCTTCTCATTATGAACTTCTTCTTCCTCCTTCAGATGATGAGTTCTTCTCATTATGAACCTTCTCTGGAAAAGCTAATCCATCAATTTGATGAATTCAAATAAAATGTTGAACAAATTCTTCTCATTATGAACTTCTTCTTCCTTCTTCAGATGAGTTCTTCTCATTATGAACTTCTCTGGAAAAGATAATCCATCAAATGATAGATTTGAATCTTTGCTAAAGTCTTTGAAATTCCTGTTAAAAATTCAACATAGATGAAAATGAATGAAAATGCACCTATTTTTGTAAACACCTAAATATGATGCATGAATGTTAATTTATTTGATTTCAGACTGGTGAATTGAGTATTTCTTCAATTGTAAAAACCCAATAGATCTTTCTTCTTCAAATCAGAGAATCTATCATCTTTGACAAATGTAGATATAATGTCACAAAACCTCTTGAGAATAAAACTCAATAGTATAGGCTCTTGAAAAGCTTGCATTCAGGCAACATGTTGATTCTGATAACAACTCATCTGATTATGAAGTGACCTTTCAAGATGATTTCACAGATATCGATAGTTCTTCTAATACTGAGAAATCTTGAATTTTGATTCTGATGAGGAGAATAAACTGTTATACTTGACAAAAATGAGATTCTCAAAGGCTGAAGCTTCAATAGCCATGTAGAGATGTGTAGTCCAAATTCATCAATTGCAAAATTAATAGATTTTACATGTGCTGTTCAAATGACTAAAAATGCTGACGCACTTCTTCCGGTAAAAGATGGGAAGCCATTATGTAATAATCCCAGTTACAAGCAAAGACGAAACTTATGCTATGATTTTTGGAAAAGGGATAAGCAAAAGAAGCTTGAAAAGAAACTTCTTAATGAAGACGATCATGCAGTTCATCTTTTAATTCCAATGATTGGTTTCTGGGGTTCCTACCGAATCAGATCAGATAACTCAAAGAACACTTCCAGAAGATGCTATTGGCAAATTTATCTTCTAAATTCAATGATTGGTTTACCAAACCAGATCAGATAACTCAAAGAACACTTCCAGAAGATGCTATTGGCAAATTCATCTTCTAAATTCAATGATTGGTTTACCAAACCAGATCAGATAACTCAAAGAACACTTCCAGAAGATGCTATTGGCAAATTCATCTTCTAAATTCAATGATTGGTTTACCAAACCAGATCAGATAACTCAAAGAACACCTCCAGAAGATGCTATTGGCAAATTCATCTTCTAAATTCAATGATTGGTTTACCAAACCAGATCAGATAACTCAAAGAACACTTCCAGAAGATGCTATTGGCAAATTCATCTTCTAAATTTAATGTTTGGACTAGGATATCACAATGCTTATTCGAGGTAGAGCCAGAATTTGTAGATTCGAAGCATTTCCATGCTACTACACTGAAAAGGGCTATATTCATAATTCTGCCAATTAAGAACAGATTTTCTCTTTATTCTGCTTCCTCCATGTGCTGATGCTTTTCCATTGACAAAGAAATGATGGCCTTTCTGGGATCCAAGAACAAAGTTGAACTGTTTATAAACATGTACAGGAAGTGCCAAATTGACAGAAAAGATCTGTAAGGCTCTTGAAGCTTATGACAATGAGCCACCTTCGAGTGTCCAGAAGTATGTTCTTGATGAGTGCTGAAAATGTAATCTAGTATGGGTTGGAAGGAATAAAGTTGCTCCACTTGAACCTGATGAGGTGGAAATGATTCTAGGTTTCCTTAAAAACCATACACAAGGATCTGTATAGAGATATGTTTCCCAGTGATATCAATGTCTTGTTTCTTTTTGCTGAAATCAATGCTACAAAAGTTGCCTTCTACTGTCTTAGTATATTTTTGAAAACAGATGTGCAAGAACTGAATGGTGATCGGTTGGAGCAATTGATGAGTAGAATTGTCAAATTCGACCTTGTTCAAGATGGTGATGATTTGCTTACTTTGTATTCCACGTATTTAAAAGTATTAACATAAAGTGATATTCAGAAATCTTTAATTTATTTCAAAATTATGTTAAATCATAGAAGAATAAATTGAATTTCCAAAAATAAATTGAATCTCAAATAAATTGAACTTGAAATAAATAGAATTGTATTCAAAGTTATGGCAAACATAAGAATGATAAAAATTCAAATGTCTCAACAAATTATAAGCATAAGTATTTCTAAATTAATTAAGTTGACACAATTTAGAGATGATGTAAGCTTTTGTCTGGAAGATCTCAAACGTTGTCAAAATGATTGTAGATGTGAAGTTTCTCCCAAACTGTCAAAATCTTAAGAGAGTTCAATTGCCGGATGCCTAATATCAAACTTCATTTGAGCCGCCTTTTCAGGTTTTCAACTCAAATCCTTCCTTAGGTTACAAGATGCTCTTTGCGAGTTTTCACCTTGACCCCCCTTTTTTTTTCAAGCATAATATTTCTTGACAGAATCCGAGTTTATTGAATTTTTCAGAATTTTCCATCCATTTCTGCCAAGATCAACGCTCCTCCGGAAAAGGCCTTTTTCACAACGTATGGCCCTTCCCAATTAGGCATCCATTTCCCACGGAAATCTTTATGTATAGGCAAGATCTTTTTTAGTACTAGATCACCCTCTTGGAATTCTCTTGGATGTACTTTTTTGTCATGAGACTTCATCATCCGTTTCTGATACATCTGTCCATGGCAAATAGCTTTCAATCTTTTCTCCTCAATAAGGTTCAATTGATCAACTCTAGCTTGGATCCATTCAGATTCATCCAATTTTGTTTCTCTCAATATTCGAAGCGATGGAATCTCAACTTCAATTGGTAAGACTGCTTCCATCCCATAGACTAAAGAAAAAGGCGTTGCCCCAGTAGATGTTCGAACAGTAGTTCGGTATGCATATAGAGCAAAAGGTAACTTTTCGTGCCAATCTTTGTAAGTTTCAGTAGTCTTTGTAATGATTCTCTTGATGTTCTTATTTGCTGCTTCAACTGCCCCATTCATTTTTGGACGATACGCCACTGAGTTTGAATGTTTGATCTTAAACTGTGCACAAAGTTCAGTCATCATTTTGTTTTTCAGGTTCAGAGCATTATCTGTAATGATCCTTTCTGGTAGACCATATCGGCAAACTATCTCTTTCTTTATGAATTTACAGACTGTGGACCTCTTAATATTAGCATATGAAGCAGCTTCAACCCATTTGGTAAAATAATCAATTGCCACAAGGATGAAACAATGTCCATTCGATGCTTTTGGTGTGATTGCTCCAATGACATCTACTCCCCACATAGAAAATGGCCAGGGTGCTGTCATTACATGTAAAGGAGATGGGGTACATGAATCTTGTCTGCATATATCTGGCATTTATGACATTTCCTTGCATAATCAATGCAATCTGTGTACATAGTAGCCCAATAGTATCCATATCTCATTATCTTTTGGCCATGGAAAGACTATTTGCATGTGTTCCACA